GTAGCATGAGACCATCACAAATGCCAGGTTCATAGAGTACACAATACTTAGTCAATTCTGAGCAAATATTATAAAAATTACATTATGTCAGAGAAAAATAATCCTAGCAACACATTTATTTTGCATCATGCAGTCAAAATAAACGTGTTTTTGATTTTATATGGAAACAGCCTATAGAGATCACCTGTTGCTTTTGACTGTCCGTCAACCAAGCTCTCTTTTTCTATTCCCTGCACCTTTAGCTTCCTGTGGGGAACAACCTCTTCCCCATCCTCAATCCAGTGCTTTAGGTGGGGCTGATTCTGTTTCTACTTCTAAAGGTGGACATGTGACGTAGGCATAGCCAATGGGAAAAGCACATCCCTTTGGCCAACCATTGATTGAGGGCCCATAACTCAAGCAGGACCAATCAGAACCAAAAGGCTGTCATCTCCAGGTCTTTTGCTGGGACTACCCAAGAGAGAAAGATACGTGTTATTTTCCTGGTGCCTATGTTTGCCACAAAGGCAAGAGCCTGCCTGAAAGTGAAGCCTGCAATGAGGAGCAGTAATCTGTGAGATGGGAGAGAAGAAATCCTGGTGACAATGTGACAACGAATGAATACCCAGATCTGGCTCTAGGATTTTATGTGATTTCAGTGAATGCCTTTTTTATTTAGCCCGTTTGAGTTGGATTCTGGCAGTTGTAACCTAAAGTCTTCATCAATACACAGGACAATCATAGGATTTTTTAGTTGTGAGTTCTCTCTCTCTCTCTCTCTCTCTCTCTCTCTCTCTCTCTCTCTCTCTCTCCCTCCACATGTAAAAATTGTGACTGAAAGATTAATATGTCACATTTTTGTTGAATATATGTTATGGTAGGCATTGTGTACAGCACTGGAATGTAAAGATAAATAGGACAAAGTGTCCATTAGGTGGACAAATGTGAGCAGTACAATGATGGAACTATTGTGAGATAAATGTGACATAGGATAGGGACCCAGCATGATAACTGGGAGGGAGGACTCTGAAGCCTGACTCCCTGGGTCTACTGTGCCACTTACTATTTCCTTAACACGTTTCTTAATCTCTCTGTCTCTCAGTTTCCTCATCTGTAAAACAGAGAGAATAATTATTGTGAAGACCAAAGTGAGTTAATACATGTAAAGCACTTGAGCTAGTGCACAGTAAATGTTCACCACTGCTACGGTGACTGTGCACTGGTTCCCAGCTGGTATGGAAGACACGTGAGGTCACCTGTGATTTCCATTGGACAGTGGAAGAGGAAGATTAGAGAAAAGGAAGTGGCTTTTGAGCTGAGCCTTAGGAGGTGAGCTAGTCGGGCAGACCAGGACAGCAATGGCATGATGAGCAGTGAGACGGCACGTGTGGAGGTCCGAGTCATGGGAGAGCCAGGCATCACAGAACTGCAGTTACCTGCATTTGCCTGGATTGTAGGTTGCATGTGGGTGCTTTGGGAGACAGGACTATAAAAGTAAGCAGATGATAGATCCCGAAGAGCTAATGTGCTTTGCTAAAGGGTGCTTGTATTAGTATTAGATAGGATAACATCTTTCACATGTGGCCGAATACCCACCTCCAAAGAGCTTAAGTAAAAATGGCATTTAATGGCTGCCATAACAGGCAAGTCCAGAGGGAGAGCTGGCTATGGATATATCTAGGCCAGGGTTGAAATGATGACTCGAAGACCTATTTCCCCCCACCTTAATCTGTTTCTTTGCTTCATCTGTGCATGGCTCCATTCTTAAATGATAGTATGCTGGTAACTATCATTAAATGATGGTAACATGGCTGATGGAGGCTCACAGGCCTCCCCTGGGAAAGAATGAGATTCTCTTCTATAAAAGTCCCAGAAAAGTCTCATTGGCTCTGACTGAGTCACCTGAACCAATTATTTTGGTGAATGGAATGCTATGCTCCGATCCATCAGCCCTGAGATTTACATACTGCAGGAGTCAGCTCCACTTAGAAACTCAAAGACTTAGCATATGAAGGAAGGTGGTCCTTCAGAAGAAAACTGGGTATGAATACCAGACGAAGATATGGAATGCAAAGCCCAAAGAAGTTCAAGACACCTTTTATATGGTAAGGAGCCACTGCTGGCTTTTAAGTTGTGGAGTGACAGTGACCAGATACAAACTGATGTGAAAGATGCATTGGAGGGTTGTTGCTGAAGGCAAAAGGTCAATTAAAAAGTGTTTACTAGTCCAGGGAAATGACGATGAGTATTTGAATGAAACCTTGGCATAGGGAATGGAAAGGTACAGTGACTCAGAAATGTACCGGTAAGGGCTAGAACCATAAGCATTTTATGTGGAACAAAATTCAGTGGGGAAGGGAAGGAAGACAACTAGAATGTATCTTAGGTTTTGGCTTTGGGGACATGATGGGTAAGGATGTCATTTACTGAAAGCAGAGCTACAGAAGGTGAGAGAGAAGAAGGTATAAAAATAATAAATGGCTAACATCCAAAATGTACTTATGTCCATGATCTTTTTCACAGAGTGGCAGAGGAAAAGTATATTCAGAATTTATAGAATCTTTTTTCCCCCCATAAACAACATTATTCACAATGATAAATGACCTGGGGTTACCCTTTGCATGCACAGGTACAAGGCAGCCTGCGCATCCGGTAAATCTGTAACACAGGCACACACATGTTCACACACACACAGTTTTGTATTAGCCTCACTCTTTTGTGTTTGCTTTGCTTTTTGATTCTCACTTGCTTCTGACTAATGTGTTCTTTCTGTATTTTATCTATCTTTGTAAGTGGCTTTAGATCCTTCTGGAATGAGATGGTATCTAGTCAATAGATATTTCTTAATACATATTTATTCCAAGTCAGCCCTTACAAAGAATGATTGGAATGAGACTTGGAATTTTTTAAACCGAAATTACTCTTCTACTTTCTTTACCCAAATGCCCATAAATGTGGATAAGTTGTATCTGTCTGTTTTTTTTAAGGAATAAAAGACACCTGTATTTGTTTAAAAGTTTATTATTTTAAGAGTATACAATGTCCAAAAAATGAATGCATTAATGGATCAGGATCAGAAGAAAATTTAAATTACATAATAGTCTTGTGGGTCATGACCATCTACAATAAATTCTCCGTTCCAGTTTTTCCAGCAAATCCTATAGTCTTCAAAGAGCCCATATTTTCATGATCCCCAGATGAGCTTCTCCTGTTGGCTGTTTTTCACACTTCATAGCCTGGAATTCCAGGTTCAGCTGTTACTTAGAGGCAGGTGGCTATCTCAAACCACCTTTGCTTTGTCTTTTTTGTCTAATATTCATTGCCCTTGGTCTGCCAGACTAATGTCTTGACTCAGAAAGAGAGGAACCAGTGGACAAAAGATAGGCGTCAGAGGAAGATGATGGAAGCAAGATAGATCTGGAAGATGGGAGGAGAAAGAATTGCCCTTACATGTAGGCGCTTGATTATTACGGATTTCACCTCTGATAATGGCAGTACCTAGCTCTGGAACACACCGGGGGTCCACACTTTCTCATAAGTCAAGTTCCCAATCCTCAGCTTGGCATTCAAGACTTTGGCGAATGTGGCCCATGGATTCCTTTTCTGGGTCTCTGTTCTCACTTTTATGCTTTGCCCCATTGTTACCTCTGTCTCAAGTGCCCTTCCCCCCACTTTGGCTACTCCAAGTCTTATCCATCACTTCAGGCCCAGGGAACAGAGATTTCCATAGCTGTCCCCTCCCACCCCCTAATTTGGGAGTAAACATTTCCCTCTCAATATCCATTCCATAGTATTTTGTCTCCGTCTTGTTTAGCACTGAGCATAGCTCAGCATGATTGCTTCCAGAATTCTAGGCATTTTGTCTGTGTGTATATGTCATTTCCTTTCTTGTATCCTTTGAAAGTTGATGGCAGGTGTTGTGCCATATTCACCTGGGTGTTTCACTGCCTTCACAGAACCCACTGTGGTGACTCCCACATAAGAGGCATTTAAGCTATTTATTAAGTGAATGAGCAGAGAGAGGAATGCATGAATTAGAAGATACAAAGAAGGAGAGAGTAAGGAGGTAATATTAGTATCAGCCAAGGGCGTGGCAGGCCACAGAACTGTGGGTGAAATGAATGGATGATTTGCAGTTCAGTGGGGAGCAACAGGCTGATACTAAGAGAGTGTGAGGCGAAAGGAGGTGTGAGACTTGGAAAGCACAGCTATTTGCTCAGGCGTCTGGGTCTCTCTCCCTCTTCCTCTTGTTCACTCCTCCCATCTGCTCACTCACAATCACTGGGCATATGCTTCGCTTTATTTGAATTCATTACCTGGGAAGTCCATGAGACACAGTGTCTTACCACAATGTAAAATAACTCCCTTATTTGTGAGAAAGCTAACATTACAAATATTTGTCTTGGGAAACTATTATGCTGAAGGATTTAGGAGAATGATTTATTGGCTGGTCTCAGTAACTCGTTTCTCTTCATTTCCATTACCCTTCCCAGGCCTCCAGGGTGCCTCTGTTTCCAGGTTTTTCACCCCTTCCCGAGTGCAAATACCAACGGTGTTTGGAGGATGGGATGGCGAGAATGCCACTGCTGAATTCCTTGTTTCCTGTACATCCCTCCCACCTCCTTAAACACACACCCCTTAGCACACTTAATATGTTTCCATGTTTTCTCTGGTTCCCGTTAAGTTCATTAGTTTGTCGTGGTGCGCATCACGCTGAATGGTGACCGTGTGCTCATCACACACTAGCCTGTATGAGTTAGGGATTTTGTCTTAACTCATTATTAAATCTGACCCAGCATCAGAGTGTCTGGTTCATACAGGCTTATTAAAGAGTTGTTGAGTAAATATATACAAGCCTGAAGGAATAAATAATAACACGAAGAAAATTATCATGTCACTTTAGCTTGCGTGCAATTATTCAGCATCTCTTACCTTTGGTTCTTGACTAACTATATCCTTTTGAGAATTGTCGAAGACTTTGTCTGCGATGTTATGATTCTCTTAAATAATAGGCAAAAATGTAATTTTATAAAGATTTAATGAGACAATATCATTGCCAGCTGGTTTTGTCGCTCAGGGAATTTAATATAAAATTTGTTAACATTGTCTGGAATTTGTTTAAATATTTATGAACATTGCATTCAAGAGAATTCATATCTGGGGTTGTTGTTTTATATAATTCACTTTGGTGTGGTTTCAGCAGTTTGGTGGTTCATCTTGTTATAATAGATTCTGCTGGAACCATCTGTAAATGCTCTGGAATCTGAGTGGGAGTCTCTTTGGCTCTCATTTCTGCTTGTTCCACCTTCCAGGGCCCCAGATTAAATCAAAGTGTCTCCCACAAGGATCTTGGAACATTCAGGTCAGCTGTCCTGATCACAGTTCGTCATCTTCTGATATGGAATCTAGATAATCTGTGTCAACATACAGGAGAAATCCAGAGAACAAGCTGTCCGCCCAACCTGGGTCTGAGAAGAGGCCATTCTGGTCAGTGAAGAAGATCTCCAGCCAGACTTCATCTTCTGGCTGCAGATAGACGACAGTGGACCCCGAAGCCACGTCATGGTTTCCTGTGTTGGCGTCGAAGGTCTTTATCCGGTACTGCCCGTTGTGTACCAGCCCAATTGCCAGATGCTTATTTGCCAATGTGATATCATAAGAAAAGTAATAGATCCCGGGGAAAGCACAGATGAACTTCCCCGTCGCAGGGTTGTAGTGCTGGCCCTCATTGAAGAGGACCTTGTTGAATATAATTGGTAGCCTTTCTTCTGGGTAGCTGGTTGTGATGCCAACAGAAAAGGCAGATTTGAGCACGATGCTTCCACATCTGCAAACCCCAGGCAGCCCTGGGTCCCCTTGTTCTCCTCTGTCTCCTTTTGGTCCAGGAGGCCCAGCTGGACCGACTTCTCCCTTTTCTCCCTCTGGTCCAACGGGTCCTTTCTTCCCAGTGTCTCCTTGGTCCCCTTTCTCTCCAGCAAGGCCCAGTGGTCCAGTCTTACCTCTCAAACCTTTAAAAAGAGTTTACAGTTTAATTAATAGTTCCTTTAAATAGCCACAAGCAGCATACCCACATAGATTCCAGCATACCCTAAATTTGTCTGTTCAGACAACTTTCAACTATATAGTACTAAACAATGAGTTTTTTGTTTTTGTTTTTTTAGCGGAGCCATCCTGCCACCTGTTGGCAGCTCAGCGGCAGCTCAGCTCGGGCTGGGCTTCGAACCGCTGTTGCTCAGAGCTCACACTCTCGAGCGAGCTCTTAACCAACTGAGCCACTCGGCCGGCCCTAACAATGAGTCTTTTAAAAAAATCACTGATACACTAAAATGGAAAAAGAAACGTTTCATCAGAATTTCAAGTAAATTTTCCAAAGAATGTGAGAAATCATTTAAATACTGACTAATTTAAAATAATCAACTATCATTTTGGTGCTGGATCACCTGCCACTAAATTAATCATGTACAGGTACTCATGATGGGAGGAACTGAATGAGAATGATGATCTTATTCCCCAGAGTGGGGTCATGGGGGCAGACAGAACCAGGCGGCTCCTTAGAGGCTATTCAGACCCATGCTCCAGTCTAACTATTGGTATTAATAATAAAAGAATTAATCAAAACGAGATTAGCTCATATTTATTGAACAGTTACTATGCACCAGGGTCAGTACTTTATTTACATGCATTCTTTTTTTTAAGGTTTGCAACAATTGTATAAACTAGGAATTATTATCACTTCCATTGTAGATGAGGACACTGAGCCGTGGAGAAGTTAGTTTGCTCAAGGAAACAGGGCTAGTGAGTGATGGAGCTGTGATCTGAACTCAGGAGCCCGAGTATTTCCCGGGGCAGTGGCTGCATATAAATTGTGCAGTGTGCCTGGCACATAGCGAGGGCTCACTGTGCTTCAATAACCTGACAACGGCGACTGCCACCACTGGACAGTAAGTCTTTTTCTTTTTTTGAAGGAGAAAACAGAGTCCTGGAGAGGTGAAGCAAGGCTGGGACTGGGATTTGTGTCTTAGCCGACGACGGATGCTTCCCCGTTGTCAAAATGCCTCTGACCTTTGGGGATGGAATCAAGAATCCTAAATTTTGTTTGGCTCTGCAGGGAAAGGTTGTATCACTTTAGGCAAATCTCTTAATTTCTCTGTGCCTCCTTATATATACAAAATACTTAGTAGCTGTGAAAAGATTTCAACAAATTAAAAATTACCACAATGAAATGTGTTCTTTTGTCCAAATCTTTATGTCTACACATCAGCCATAGATAGGTTAAAGGCAGAGAAATCATGATTATGACTTGAAAGTGATAAGCAGTATCTATTTAATTTTTAAATCATTTGTGGAATGGCACTGACTTAATAGTATTAAAAAGTCATTCAATTTTATGGCCAAATCCATTTCATAAACAATGCCTATATAATGATACGTTCTCAAAAAGTATCCAAATTACTGGTAATTTGTAAGGCACTTTTGTAGTGAGGGAAAATATATTATTGATATATAGTGTAGCTTCACTCTTAATTATGTATTTATTCTCAGGAACTTTTTTAAAGCTAAGCCTCTTTATCTTGATAGTGCTTTCATATCATTTATTTGAACATTACATATGCATCAGTGTATGAGTTTGGTCATTTTTTAGTTATTTGGTAAATTTACCAATGAAGTGTTCTAGATAATATAAATTTGAGGAGAAGTGAAGTTTGACTTAAAACAATAAGTACTTAGTTTTAATAATTTTGGAAAGATGCCGTTTAACAATTTATGATGAACAAAAGATGCTAATAATGAAAGCATTGTTTTTTGGGGTTTTTTTTTGGTGACTAGGACCTGCTTTATTACTGATCACAGGACTGTTCTCCAGCTGTACGTAGCTTTTGCTATTGAGTTGAAATTCCATTTATTCCAGCTAGAACACACTCTGGTATTTACTGCTTGAAATAATGCCATAGTAGTCTGACCTCTCAATGTTTGCTTTTTTTCTTTTTTTGAGGGGGGGAAGGAGTAGACATATAATATGAATATTATTCTGCTAATAAGTTAACTTTTGAATAAAAAACTACAACTTCTAAATTGTGATTTTATCTTCAGTAAGAGCTTGACTTTTGCTGTCCTCATCAGGGACTTTTGATGCATTAATTAAAAAAGCATTTTGGCACCAGTAACAATTTTGACCACTAAATTCCATTATGTCCTCAAATCTTCTTGCCTCTATGACTTTAGGCAAGTCAATTTTTGTCTGAGTTCCAAATGTTCCATTTGTAATATGAAGAAATTGGATCCAAATCCACTCCAAACTTGGTGGGAAAAACAGTCAACAGTGACTCAGCAGGCCAGGGATACAAGCCTCGTTCAGCCATGTATTAATTAAGTGAATTTGATGAAGGGGCTTCATTTCTCTGATGTTAGTATCCTAGTCCTTGAAATGAAAGTGTTGAACTAATAATAGATTGCTTGAGGTCTCCTCCTACTGAACATTCTTTAAGACCAAACCATATATACTAAGATGGAATTTTACAATGAAAAGGTGTTTACAGTGTTTGGATTTTCTACAGTTATTAACTATTCTGAACTACTGGGAGTTAGATAATTAGAAACTAGCTGTAATAATTTACAGTAATTTTTCCTGTTTGCATGACAGATTTGCCCTGTGCTAAAGATCAATTAATGAAGAATAGAAAGAAGGGGTAGATCATTCTCCCTCTCTCTACTTAGTCAGACGTATGTGTAGAGAGGAGAATTATAGACAAAATGTTAGTGTATGCTAAGGTACTAAAGCTTGGAGAGAAAGGCTTTCTTTTCAACACTCATGATATGCGCTTACAAAGATTTTTTTTCTTCAGTGCCATTTGTGTTATCCGTCCATCCATTCATCCATCCATCCATCCATCCACCCACCCACCTACCCATCCTTCTATGGATTTATGTGTGCATGCATGCAGCCATCTAAGCCATCTCATATTGACCCACCACCCACTACATGCCAGACACTGTATTAGGGCCTGAGTGGGATACTGACATGAATGGCATCTGTGTCACCCTCCAGTGAGTTGCTATTATGTATTACATTGTGATCTTAGCTAAGTTCATAAATATTCAAAGCCATGTAATAAACCAGAATTACCTGTTTCATGATGTGGTTCTAGTGTTACTTGAGGATATTTATATGGATGTGCATTCAGATTAAAGTAAGTGTTAATTACACAACACAACAATAATTGCTATAGACCAGTGAGGGAGATAGGTATTTTAACCAAAAAAAATTATAATTCAGTATAATAAGCTCTGTATTTGTATTTAGGAGAGGGAAGTTGGACAAAAAATAGGCTTGATTCTGCCTGTGCTCAGTTGGGGCAGATGGGTGGGTATGGTCACCAAGGGTACATGAATAAAAAGACCTTTGTGGTGTCACTAACATGGACAGAAGGAACAGAAGCTCCCAGCCATGTCGTGTCCTGTTTAAAGCATGTCCCAAAACCCCAGGGCTCTGTTCCTATTGTTTGGAAGTGAGGTGTACTTTTCTTCATGCATCACAAAGGCGCTTTTCCTTTTCCTTTCTAGCTGTTATGTATCCTTATGTGTATATGTGGATATTGGATTTAAATAATCTCAGTTTGGGGAAGTAACTTTATTTTTGAATCTCAGTTATTCATTTGCAACATTATTATTATTACTAATCATAATAATTGCTAGTAGGGCTATGGTGGACAATAAGTATTGAATCTAAAATTCCTGACACATAGTAAACTCTTAACAAATGGTTATTATTATTACTATGATGATGTTTTCCCCTGTTGGCCTCCCACACCTAAATGTTTGCTTATCAAGGCAAGGACAATGTCTTAGTCATGTTTGTGTCCTCAGCTTCTAGAACCATGTTCTCAGCCAGGGGCAATTTTGCACTGCCCACCAAAGGGCAGTTGGCAATGTCTGGAGATGTTTTTGGTTATTACAATTGGTGGGGGGCACCACTGGCAGATAGTGGGGTGCTGCTAAATGTCCTACAATCCACAGGATGGTCACCCCACAGTGATAATTATTCAGCCCCAAATGTCATTAGTATCGAGGTTGAGAAACACTGGTCTTGGCCAGGGGTCGGCAAACTGTGGCTCATGAGCCACATGTGGCTCTCTGGGTACATTGTGTCTCAAAAGTTTGCCAACCCCTGGAAGAGCCAATCCTGTCCCTCACAACAATTTCAAAATTATTCAAGAGCCATAAATATATTTTTTACATAATCACCATTATGTGAATAATATCCTTTAAAATGTTATAAATGAAACTATGATAGTTTTATTTTCATTTTCAATTTTACTTCAGAGCCACAGGTATGTGCCCAAAGAGCCACATGTGGCTCGCGGGCCACAGTTTGCTGACTCCTGGCGGCTCTTCTGTCTCAAAATCTGCCAACCCCTGGTCTAGAACAATCCTGGATAGTAGTAGGTGCATAAAAAAGCTTGTTGAATGAGTAACGGGTGAGTGGATGGATGATTAAATGGATTGATGAATATGGGGATATACCTGGCCTCATACATGTTCAAAATTGTAGCAATTATGAACATTAGATTTAATCTAAATGCATATCCACAAACATATCTTTAAATAATACTGGAACTACCTCATAAAACAGATCACTCATTTCTAGTTTATGGCATAGCTTTGGATATTCATGAACTTAGCTATGATTCATATTTACAGAGCACAATGTAATAAGCAATAACAGCTAACATTTATTGAGTGCGTCCCATCTGGCACTTATTCTATTGCATGTTTTACATGTATTATTGTCCTTAATCTTCACAATCACCCTTACTATATCCTATTTACAAATGAGAAAATTGAGGCCAACGACTCTATTTGCCCAAGGATACTTAGTAATTGAAGGAGCCAAGATTTCAGTCTAAGTCTTTGTGACTCCAATGCATGCTTGTGCAATCACTACATTGTTGTCTCCGGACACAGTATACATAAAAGGTTGGCAATTCTTAACTATGGTCCTGGTGTTGCTACAGGATTTCAAGGATATTTATGATCATGACACAGCGGGAAGTTGTGTTCATAGGTGTCGCCATATGGACGAGTTTGAAAGATAGGATTTAAGCTCCACATTAAAGGTTTTTTATCCGATGTTGCAACTTTACCTAAAGATTGTTTATCTAATATTGAACAATATTCATAAATTGGGTAGCTACTGATTGGCCAAATATTTTCTGCTTGACAAATTCAAAAGTGAATTATTAGCCAATAATTTGAATATATATTATGATACTGTTTCAGATAACAGCACTAAATCAGATGCAATGACTAGATAAGGACACATTTCTTAGATCTGTTGATATTTTCTTCCTATCTTTTGTCCCAACTTTGATACTCAGAAACTTGTTTCCAAAGATTGATTCCAAATCACACCCTTTTTTAGAGTTAACACATGGCCTCTCTAGAATTTTAATTCATTTCACTCTGAAGAATTGCAGAAACTCGCAACCTTCCTGGGTCAATTTATTTGTGAGGAAAAAAGAAAGTGAAAATTATTAAAAGATTAGAGTGCAGTTGTATTGCTGTAAAGAGCTATAAGAAATCTATATAGTTTTTTTAGCTACTGCAGGACAAGTGAGAAACGGGTGAACTAGGAAAAGTAGGCTCTACAGTACTATTGTCATTTCATGTGTGAAAAATAAAATCTGGAAGTCCTTTATGTGTCTTAGTTCAGGATATTAGTGCACAGCAGGACGGCACCTGTGCTTTTGGCTTCTAACTCTGCCTCTGCTTCATCGCCCCTCCTGTCCATCTGTCTGTCCATCAGCTGCACCCTGTCATATCCGGCCATTGCCTGCTGGCTGTAACAGCCCAGTGGTCACAGGCATCAGACGTTGGAATCCAGCTCTGCCGTTCACTAGCACTTCCATCTTCAGTAATTCATTTAATTGTGGCATTGCTCAGTGTTCTTATCTATAAAATGAGAGCTTCCACCTGAAAGTGTTGTCATTACAATAAAATAAGAATGCACATAAAGAGTTTAGAGCAGCACCTGGAGAATAGTCAAGGTGCAATACATTTTTATGATTAATGAAGGGGAAGTAGAGAAAGGATTCCCATGAGAAAAAGCAGCAAAGCAAGGGAGTAGTTTTCAGGTGCTTTACGGAACTTCATCATTCATTACCTGCAGCCCCCTTTTCACCTTTCTCTCCTTTCCTGCCGTCTCTCCCATCTCGTCCTGGAAGGCCGATCCGACCATGGGGACCAGGAGAACCATTTGCTCCCGGGGGGCCTGGAGGTCCAGGTAAGCCAGGAATGCTACAGATATATCTCGGGGAGTAGCTCTCTGCTTTGAACTGATTACCCCGAGGTTGTCCACTTGCACAAATGGCAATACTTGTAACATAGAGCAAGACAAACATCTTTGGCTCTGTAAGAAAAACACACAGAGATAAAGCACCCTGTCAGGTGGAAGTTTTGGTGTGATTGAACATGAGAATGGGCATTTGCAAACAGTCACTCCTGGGCTCGCCTCTCCATGCATGTGAGAAAACCCCTGGTCACCTAATTCCATTGGAAACTTAATGCATTACTGACAGAGTTCACATGGGTTGGTGGAGGTGAAGGACTGATTTAAAAACATTTTAAATAAATCCCTTTGTCACACATTTTCTGCAGAAATTAATGATGGACTTGGACAAATGATATTTTCTTTTTTGCCAAAGTGATGCATTTTTTAAAAATTAGGGATGCAAATGAGGAAGATAAACATCAACATTATTCTCACCACCTGGAGATGATTTTACATTTATATATATGTATATATATATATACATCCTTCCAGTCTTTTTTTTCTATGCTATAGAGAAAAGTGACATCATGTCTTTCCTGCAATTCTTCAATTGTTTTCACATAACAAAATATCATGAGCATCTTCCCATGTCAAAAATTATTCATAACATGAAAGAAATTGTTGCATTTGTCTCTACTCTCCATTACGTACACAATTCCCCACTATAGAGGTTTGCTTCCAGTTTTCTGCCAATATAAACACATGCTAGACATCCTGATAGCTAATTTTTGCATGCATCCAGGGTCATTTTCTTAGAATTTCTGGGCTTTTTAAAGCAGGAGAAAGGAAGTGGCATTTTCAGGAAAAACCATTCTTTTTTACTTATGAATCGCATGTAATATCAATTAGTGTTAGTTGGAACACTGTGCATGTCCTGACAGTGGGCCGTCTCAAACTTTAATTTAAAATCTGTAGGATATAATGCCATGGTATCCCGTTAAGCTGATAGCACTGGGGCTCAAAAGCTGAGTGAAATTAAACCATGCATACTGCCACATGCTCCGAGTGAAGCACGTAACAGGTATCTTCTATATGATCTAATAGGACTGGGTTTCTTCCTCTGTAAAGCCTGGCAGATGAGGGTGATGGATCACTTATTAGCATGACACTTGGCATATGGGCTGAGGGCTGGGCAGTGTAGGCTGAGGACACCTTGTTTCTGTGCTAGATGGTCCTTAAAATTAGCAGAGTCTTGGATGGGAGAATGCATACATGTGGTTCTGGGGTGGTGTAAATGAGCAGTTTTTGGATAGTTGGACCTGTGCTTTAATAGGAAATCTGTACAATGCTTGATATACATGCCTGGCATTGAATTACCCAAATGAAATAATTATATAATGTAGGAAAAGCAATTGGATGAATTTTCTTTGTCTTTTTGACAGTCACATCAGGAAATTAACCAGGCACACTGTATCACTTTTATGGTACCCATGGGGGAATTGCAACATCTTGGAATTAGACCCAGAAATTTGCCAGAGCATAGGAATGACAAATCAAGAAAAACAGTGTGCGCATGTGGTTTGAAACAGGTCTGATTCCTAGAAATCTCATTAGTGAAAAGCTGAAGGAATGTATCCAAATATAGCCTCTGTATCCTCGCCCAAATCTTCATGTTACCAGTGGGCCCGCCCTCTCCCAAATCAAGGAGAACAGCTTTGCCATATTCTGTCTGCTTGATTTGTCATAAGGCACAAACACAGAATTACTGGTCCTATTGCTCAGTTGGGATTAAGGCACTTTCTGAAAAGCTTGGCAGATCTGATAAAGATACCAACCCTTCCAAACATGCCTCAGATGAAGGGAGTGGAAAGAACCTTATTATCCATACCCCCTGCCACAGTTAAAACAAGATGCAATGATTACCTTGTTCGTTCTTATAAAAAACTGATGAGAGGAGGCTTGGAGAAGGGATTGGAAAGAGGAAAAGATGAGCATAGAAGATACTCATTAAAAGGCTTTTTACCAGACATAGGATGGGGTGCTGGAGCTGAGGCCAGGAGTTGGTTCTAAGAGGGACTAGAAATTATCTGGAAAAAAGTCACCTTGGGCAGTAGCATCTCAGACACTGTGATGGAAATTCTGAAGACACAAGCACACCAATAGTCAGGGATCAGTCTATGAAGAAACATGTGGTAAGGGTCTAGGTTATGGTGGATGGTAGAAGCAGAATTTAAAAGATATACTTGGAAGAAAGGATATTAACATTTCCAATAGCCAGGCAATGAGGTGCTCAAAGAAGAACTAAATTAAAACTGACACAAATGCATTGGTTGAACAAATGGTTTGCCGTGCATTGACAAGTACCGTAGAATATTGTCTGCACAGTGGTCTACATGTTAGAGGTGTCCCCAGCTAAAGTCCTTTGAAAGGCACACAAAATGATTACCCACTAACAATCCTCATCGGAATTGGGGGCGTGGTGTTCTGGTGCCTGATGCATGGTGATGGTGTGGCAGTGAGTGGCTAGTCGAATCCTGGGACTCAGTTTATCAGGAAGATAAGGGGGTGTGGATCATAATGTAAAACGACAGTGGCATCACCCTGTAATGGTGGTTTATTTTCCTTAAAAGTCAAAAGCCTCATGGTAGATGGTCTACAAGACCCTACTTCACTGGGCTCCCACGCTCCTTCTGCCCTGACTTCATCTTCTACTCTCCTTTCCACTTTCTCAGCTCCATTCATGCTGAATTTCTTGGTGTTCTGCAAGGACTCTAGGAAAGCTTGGCCTCGGGGTCCTCACACTGTCTGTCCCCTCTGTGCAAAATTCTGTTCCCCAAGATGGTTACACATCTCACTCTCTCATCTTCTTCTTCAAGTCTTTGCTGAAATGCCACCCTCTCATAAAGCCAACTCTTACTACCTAATTCAACATTGCAATCCACCTTCTCCTCCCTCCTGAGCCTCCCTCAGTCTCTATTTCTTTCTATTCTCCATTGTACTCTTCACCCTCTAACTCTATTCTTTTTTAATTGTGTATAGCTCCATCTGATAGAATGTAAACTCCATGAGGGCAGGATATTTGAGTCATTGATGGATGTCTCCAATCACCTACAACAGTGTTTGGCACACACCCCAACTCAGGCTGGGGGCAGAGGAGAAGAATTTTTTTGGGGGGGTCGGGGGAAGGTGTGAGTTTTGTCAAGAAAAATAGAGAGGAGGGAATATGACAGTATTCCCTAAAAAAGAGAAAATAGAGATTTAAATAAATCTTTCTGGGGCCTGTGGGTCCCTTTCTCAGTGTTTGAGAAATACAAATAAAAGACTTGAGTTGGTTTAATTTTATATGGTGTAGTGTACTTAAAATATTTTAAATATTTATTTTTTTGTAAAGATAGAACATGCACATTTAGGAATTATTTTTTAATAAAGGGCTTTCAATGAAAGGTAAATTCTTCTCCCTCCCAGCCTTCCAGACACGCAGTTTCCTTTTCTAGAGGCAACCGCTCTTGTTAGGTTTTTGTATGTCTTCCTTCTCCATGTTGGTGTGCTGTGCGTGGCTTTCTGTACCTTGCTTTTTCACATAGCTTGGAGGTCCTTTCATTATCAATATACATAGAGTTGCCTCATTCTTTCTTTTAGTGACTATAGAATATCCATTATATGGATGTGTTATATTTAGTAACCAGTCTCCTACTGATGCATATTGGGGATATTTTCATTCTTGTGCTACTATAACAATAGTGCAATGAACATCTCCATATAGTGTATTCTTTGCACGTGGTTTATGACATGATTGGTAAAAAGCTTTTCCTAATTTGCCTTTTCACTTTGTTCATGTATTTTTAAAATATTTTTATCATGAAAACATATATTTGAGGTTCCATTTATTGTGTTGAAAAGGTCTTCCTTACTTCAAAATAATAAAGAGATCCCTCCCACTTTTCTTTCAGTTCTTTTATTGCTTCATTTGTTCACATTTAAAATTTGACCCATTACACCTCTTTTCTGATAAAAAGTGTGAATTGGGATCCAACTTTAATATTTTAACACCTTACATTGAATGATTCATCTTTCACCCACTGCCCCCCTGGTTGGCAATGAATTGGGTTATTTTGGCTGGGACTGACCTATATGTGTTATGGGTTCATACAAAATTACAACTTTTTTAAAGCAGCTTTATTGAGATTTAATTTTCACAGCATAAAGTTGACCAATTTAAAGTTTACAACTCAAAGTATACCATAATCTAATTTTAGAATATTTTCAAAACTTCAGAAAGAAACCTTATGAACCTCAGCAGTCACTTCTCATATAAAATGCTCTGAAGGAGTGCATTGAATTATGTCAATTTATATAGACTATATGCTAAAATGTATTTTTTTTCCACCATCATGCTTCGTTGGAGTTAGAAAAATCAAAGTTCTGGAAATATTGTTAATCTTGAAGAGATTTGTCTTCTATGTTAATTGAAATGAACTTCATCCTATTTTTCTGTAGGGATTACAAAGTAATAAGTTCTTAGTTTTTTAAACACATACTTAAAAAATTCACTTTGTGGTATTGTAGATTTCAGAGCCTTAATGTTAGTGTGTGTTTTGAATCTGTAGACAGGATTTTGTAAGTTTTTTTAGTGATAAAACCCTATGTTCTTGCTAAACGAGCCATGGGAAACTCTTAAAGTAATACTGAATAAATCAGTGCAAAACTGAACTTCTAGAAAATATGTCCACAGATTGAGATTCCTTTGTAAATGGCATCTTTCCTTTATTTTTTAAATAAAATAAACCCATGCATATATAGTCAATGAACATTTGACAAGGCAGCAAAGAATACCCAATGGGAAAAGAATAGTTTCTTCAGTGAATAGTGTTGGGAAAACTGGGTAGTCACGTGCAAAGGAATGAAATTGAACCCTTAATTTACACCACTCAAAAATTTAACTCAAAGTGGATTAAAGACTTAAATGTAAGACCTGAAACCATAAAACCTCTAGAAGAAAACATAGGAAAAAATTATTGACATTGTTTTAGGCAACAATTTTTTGGGTATGACATCAAAAGCATAAGCAACAAAAGCAAAAATAAACAAGAGGGACTACATCAAATTAAAAAGCGTTTGCACAGCAAAATAAATGATCAACAAAATGAAAAGGCAGCCTACAGAATGGGAGAGAATAAATGCAATCCATATATCAGATGGGGGTTAATATCCAAAATACATAAAGAACTCATAAAATTCAATAGCAAAAAACAAATAATCTGATTGAAAATGGGCAAAGGATCTGAATAGACATTTTCTCAAAGAAGCCAACAAGTACAGGAAGCAATGCTCAATATCAGTAATCATCAGGGAAATGCAAATCAAAACCACAATGAGATACCACCTCACACCTGTCAGAATGGCTATTATCAGAAAGAAAAGAGATAATAGTGTTGCCAAGGATGTGAAGAGGAGGAAATCCCTGTGCCCTGTTCCTAAGAATGTAAATTGGTACAACCACTATGGAAAACAGTATGGAAGTTCCTTGAAAAATTCAAATTAGAACTACCAGTAATCCCATTCTTGGTATATAGTCAAAGGAAGTGAAAACAGAGACTCAAAAAGACATTTGTAGACCCGTGTTTATACCAACATTGTTCACAGTAGCCGAAAGGTGGAAGCAACCCAGTGTCCATCAACAGATGACTAGATAAACAAAATGTGGCACATGCCTATGATGGAATATTATTCGGCCTTTAAAAGGAAGAAAATTTTGACATATACTACAACATGGAGAACCTTGAAGACTTTATGCTAAGACAAATATTGTGTGATTCTACGTACATGATATAAAGAAAATAGTCAAAATTATAGAGATAGAAATTAGAATAATGGTTGCCAGGAGCTAAGGCGACGAGGAAAAGAGGCGTCGTTTTTTCAGTTGGGGAAGATAAAGAAGTTCTGAAGATGGATGGTGGTGTGATGGTTGTACAACAATGTGAATGTACTTAATCCCACCAAACTCTACCCTTAAAATGGTAAAATTTATGCTATGTATATTTTACCACAATAAAAAATACTAAATAGAAAATATCGAGATGGAGGAAACATATTAGTATTCTTATTACTGTGCTAGGTGTTTTAAAGACAACATTTACTTAATCCCTGCACCACTTTTATTTTACAAATAAGAAAATTGAGACTGAGGGCTCAAGTCCTCGCAGCCACAAAAATAGCTCAAGGAGGATTTGAACTGAGGTTTTTTTTTTTTTGTCTCCAAACTCTTGAGCTTTCGCCTATATCATGTGAGGGAAACTGTAACATTACTTCATGACAAAGGGCTGGACTTGATTATTAATTCAAGTTGAAAATGTGTTTTGCCTGGAAATCATTAGGAAGATAGGTAACCAGGGATGGCCAAAATGAGACATATCCTTGGCCTGTGGAGGAAGAGATTTCACAATAGCAGGCTTTTCCTTCTCTAGCTGCACTAGGAGTGGCACAGTGAACGAGACAGGGTGGGGACCTTAAGTGTTCACACCCTAGGTCCTTCTGCTTTGAGGTTCCCCAGCTCTGCCCTCGGGGCTCCAACTTCCCTTCTCATGCTGCTGCTCCCCTTGGCTGTGAATTCCCTTCTCCTGACACTACTCAACTGACAAATCCACACACCGCATTGTGCTATGGCTATTTACTTACTTTTTCTTCACTAAAATATAAACTGTGTATTACCAACATTTAGGACAAAGACTAACATAGAGACTCAATGTTGAAGAAAAATATTTATTCATTAATATTTATTTCTTATCCACAGTTCATGATTTATAAAGCTTTGTCTGCTTTATGTAAAATGCTATGATGTCACAACAGCAATAAATATTGTCATTTGTCAAACATTTTGTAGTCAACAGAGCAATGTCAAGTCCATATCATCTTCCCAAAGACCCTTTTGTGGTAGATAGGACAGGGAGACAATGTCCAGAGAAGTCAGGTAACTTGTTTATGGTCACAAGTTTAGTGTCAGAGCAGAGATTTGAGCCGAGGTCTTCAGTTTCATGGATTCTTCTTACAGAGCTGTCTATTTAATACACTCAAAAGCTACCATAATGATACGGGCATTGTGTCTACATCTGCCAAAAATTCTAAAAAAAAGAGTAAACACCATACCTTGCTCTGGGTTGGTGGGTTCCTCCAGGATTCTAAATCCACAAGAGACTGAGGATCTTTTATGAGAACTCAGCGCGATACTTGCTTTGGTACCAGACAGAAAAACAAATCCAAGTTCTCAGGGGTTTCCAAATACTTGTACTAAAAATAATTTTCTCCTTTAGTCCCAGAGAGCCAGAGGCCCTGGAAGTCATTCTTTGGGTGAGACGCAACCAGGAGACAGTTAAAGTTATGATTGTGTTTGGGATAAACTCTAAGTGTCCGCCTTTGTCGGCTGTTAAGTGCAGAGGCTCCTCCATGTCCGTGTGCTGTGACCTCTTTTCCAGATTTGTTTACTTTCCCTCCCCCCTTCTTTATTTTCCACGGAGTGGATGTTTCAGGGGAAAAAAAATTACTCACTGACTGGAAATGAGTTGTTAAGAGAAAAAAAGTCATTCCTTACTTGAGAATTTTCACAGCAGAGTCTTCAGTTTCTGGACATTGGGCGGTGTCTCACGGAATAACAAGGAGGGATATCCCTGTTCTGATAAATATGGCAGGAAAATGGCCTCTCACTCTATGTGCTGCAAAATGAAAGAAGGTTATGAGTACTGTACTGATGTTTTCTTTGTTCTCTGCTGAATGGATAAATGATTGGGTATTTTTAGAAGACTAATATGTCTTTGTTCCTGTAGAGAGCTGATCATAACAACCTCAAAAGGCAGAATGGTTCTCCAAAGCCTATGACAACTCCTCTTCAATGCAATCAATTTCTTTGTTTCCTTCTGATACATACGTCTTATATCTCCTTAGCAACAGCCATATATAATTCATGATGTCATTTATGGAAATTAAGTGACTGAAGTATTTTTTTTCTTGTTTTCCCCCACTATTCTTCTCAAGCAATTGAGAATGTCAATTGCAAGATAGATTTCCAAAGTTAAGGAAGTGGATACTGACCACAAATTTAACCAAGAGGATTGGTGGGCTGCCCATTCTGATAAGCTTTATTTTGCCTTGGCTATCCACCCATCCATCTAGAGAGAATAATCTTTTGAATTTGTTGGCTGTCCAAAATCTAAGTGCCATCATATGGTAGTAAAAATAATGCCTTGAACACAGAAGTGAGGCACAGTTTTTTGCTAAGTTAGAGTAGGGTATTTTTATAAATAAATTTGACATGTAATATTGTACAAGTTTAAGATGTACAGTGTGTCACTTTGATATATTTATATATTATAATATGATGGCCATTGTAGCTATTTTTATCACCTTACACAATTATAGTACAATATCACTGTATATATTCATTATACTGTGCATTAGCTATCTATGGCTTACTTACTTACTTACTTACTTACTTACTTACTTACTTACTTACTTACAAGTTTGTACCCTAAACACCACAACTGACATCCTCCCCTCTTCATCCCTTGGTAACCACCATTTTATAGGCTAGGCTCTTAATCAGATATAGTCCCTGGGTTTGTTTTCTCACCCACAAAATAAAATGGTTGTCCTTGTTTATTTCTAGGTTTCCTCACCGTTCTTAATGTTCTCTAACAAAATGCTTGTACCTGAAGAGATAGAATTTTTTAAAAAAACAGTGTCAATCACTTCTATACATACAGGTAGAGATACAAGTCACCTTGAAGGAGATATTTGTTGTTATTGAGAGAAGTCACTCAAGTGCTTGTCTTAGTGCTGTGAGTGAAAGGAGGCACTTGGCAGTGGCTTAATGAAGGCTTTTCCTCTCAGGGATGTTTGGCTGGACAGGGGTTAAGATTGTTTACTTGAAGCATCCGTGGCCTTCTGAAAAAGAAGGAACTTCAACTTCTTAGGGAAGTTAGTCCTGGACCACAGGGTTGGCCTGTTCCAAAGCTGGCTGTGAAAAAAGGACATTGTAGACTACAGAATGGAACTGACCAGGAAGTAGGGGGGAGCCTGGGCAGAAAGGCTGAAAAGATTTTGGGGTGGCCAGTTTTGGTACAGTCAATGAAAGAGGCTGGAAGTTTATCTGCTTTCAGTCATTCTGTCATCGCCACTCTCTTTTGGGGGACAGTTGAACATGTGATGGTGAATTAAAGGAGTCATTACACTGAAGCTAGTCAGGGAGCATTAGTGGGGTCAGTAAGAGCACCCCCTACAAATGGACAAGCATCTGTGGACTGTGCACAACTAGTGTCACCATTTGGAAGCAGCTAAAGCAACAAGGAGAGTAGACAATCGAAGGTTTTGCTTTTCATCTTCTACCTGGTTAGAAGTAAGAGGACCCTTTTTGAACCAAGAAAGCCCCTAGAATTCTTAGCTCATTCATGGAGGGGAGAATTTACATCTTGGCTAGTCTACTTGTTATCAGAGCAAATGGGATCGTAGCAACTAATTGGAAAAAAAAATGGTATGACTGTGTTTGAACTGGCAAAGCAGGTCACAGAGGCTAAACACTTTCATTGTTTCACTCCTAACATAATATCACAGAACAACGTATTGTCATGTGTAAGAGAGTCCTGACTCTCTGACTTAAAGTAATCCCCTCACACTCCACACTGAAATCTTCTAAAAAGCTGAACTGGACACCAGTCCTTACAAGTTTAATTTTAGGTATTCTAGACTTTGGATATGTTAATTTATTTGTTTACAAGTGATGACTTCTTCTTAAAGGACTTTTATCACTCATTTTTCTTTGGAATAGCACAATCTCTGTCAAAGAGCTTAGAAATGGATGAGTTGTTTGTTGACCTCCAAAAGAGATAGATGTGTTCTTACTTTTCTGCCTTACTTGGACAAGTGTTGGAACAATTTATGGGTATTCACCCTTGCTTTTTCTATGTCATTCACAATGTCCTCAATTCCCTTTTAGTGTTTGATGATAAGGTTTCATGTATTATTAAAGTATCACAGTATTTTTCCTGTTCTGCAATATTTGATTATTTTCTTTCATATATATGTATATATGTGCACATATATGTGTATATAAGTAATGTGTGTGTATATATATACATATATGTGTATATGTATGTATATATTTTATTTCAGATAACTTATCTTCCTGTACTTATTCTTTTTCACAGAGAGAACAAACCTTTGAAATTGTTTCCTAGAGCATTCAGACCTCAGATATACCTATCGCTTGTTAGTGTCTATCTCACTATTATTGTCATACTTATTTTAAAAGCAGTGGTGACAGCTTATGTATAGAAAAATATGCTGAAGGGAATATTGGCTTAGAGTAAAAAGTGAGATTCCATTTTCACCTGCCACTCATATCAAGGCCATGGTTTTATTCTGCTTTACCTGGGCAGATAAATTTTTCCTTTCAGCTACTGCTTTTGTTTTCCTTAACTCACTTTTAAAATGAATTCAGTTCAATGTTGACTAATACAATTAATGTTCACAGAGCATCTAATAGTGTGCTGGTAAATGAGCTCCCATAAAAAAGGTTCAGATTTGTAGCTTTGTCAATTTCCTTGGTGTAAATACTCCTATCATGGCCAATTTTAAGCTACCAACCTGACCTTCATGAAATGCAAAGTTGGGAAGATAATGTGCAGAATTGGCCCTTGCTACCTGGTCTAAGCTGACTCAGCACACTACTGTACACACACACACACACACACACACACACACACACACACACACGCTCAGACAATTAAGTTCAGGTTTCCACTATAGAAAAGGTGCTACGTACCTCTATGAATATCACTATGGTTATCTTCAAAGTACTCCCCTTGGGAAGCTATGCACTGATACCAGTGCCTAGTCCA